CTTACTACTAGGAGCAAGGACGCTACTAGGGGCTCCTGGCCTTACTACTAGGAGCAAGGACGCTACTAGGGGCTCCTGGCATCGCTACTGGGAACAAGGACGCTACTAGGGGCTCCTGGCATCGCTACTAGGAACAAGGACGCTTTTATAACATGGGCAACCGGAGACAGCTTGAATTTCACATGTCTCCAGGCCATGGCCATGTTCGTATCACCCGGCCTGTGCGGACGCTGTGGGCAAGCCACCTCGAGCAAAGGCATTCATGACCAGGCTCCACTCCTAGCGTTGGGCTGTTCGAAATCTGAACATTCTCAATAGCTTGGGTTTTTTGAGCAACACGTGAGAAGACCGAAGGAAGTCTCCTTGGATTCGGATAAGAACTTCTAGTTCTGTCAGATTGGCTCTCTTCACAACATGGCACAGCAAACACTGGCCATACTTGTAGTTCTGTTTTGGCCCACGAATGCTCCCCACTACCTTTCAGGCCTACGGGGCATTGAAAAAAACAGAAAATCAAGACACGACTAGCGTCTTAGTCTATGTTCGCGTAGTGACGTCTATCTTTTACCTCGAATTGATGTCACCCTGCGCTACGTACTCAGTGCAATGGCCTCCACCCTAATAGCGATGGACTCCAACCTAATAATCCTAATAGCAATGGCCATGTTGCAAGCAAAGAAATACCACGATAGCTCCGTTCCCAACTTGAGAAAAACACGGGCTACTGCAAGATTACTTTGAGCTGCTCATGCTAGTTGAGTCCAGCGGTCGTGCTAAATGTGTCAATGAGGACCCCATCCTTTGGCTGCAAAACTTCTGTGGGGCTGCGCCAACGTGCCGCAGCTGAAACCAAGAAGTTTCTTGATCCTGGGCATTGAAACCAAGCACTAACGTTAACACTCTCTTAATGAGAAGCCTTGGGAAGTACGTCTTGGTAATGAGAACAATAGATGTGATGTGAGTGGCCTGAACCCCATGAGTTCTATGAGAACCTTGGAAAAGAAGCCAGTGGTTGCTGCTTGTGTTGGTGCAATGGGGCTGAGACTTGGCAAAAACCGGTTGACGGCTCTCCAACATGCTACTCTTTGACACCATACTGACCCGGTGTTGGGTCAAAACCTAAAGCTCGACAAGTGGCTTGCAGGAGGACGATGTGACACGTGACACGGAGATGGCGATGCAATGCAGTCATCCGTGTAATATACATCACATCTTCAAGCAAAATTGCTTTCTGGTTAATAGTAGCGATGCCAGGAGCCCCTAGCGTCCTTGCTCCTAGTAGTAAGGCCAGGAACCCCTACTGTAGTAGCTTCTTGTTCCTACTAGCAATGGCCTCCAACCTAATGGCAAAAGGAAGTGCAATGGCCTCGAACCTACTAGCGATGGCCTCCTGTCGGCAAAATGTGACGATTCTACCCCGGGACAGTGGCGCTGTGAGCAGTACACGAGTACTTGGATCTAACACTGTGGCTCCAACGCTCTTAGGTTGAAGGCCATTGCTAATAGGAGGAGCAAAGGGCATCGCTACTAGGAGCAAGGACGCTACTAGTAGCTCCTGGCCTTACTACTAGGAACAAGAAGTTACTAGTAACAAAGGGCAAACTTGTGAGAACATGAAGCTCCTCAAAAAACCCTGGTCTTGTCAAGCACGTTTGCACCTTCCAACACGCACCCTGTCATATCCCTGTCCTGGCAGGGATGCCAGTGAAGAGGTCAAGGGCCGGATTTCTGATGGCTCCAAGTGTTGGACGCGTGCCTGGAAATCGGCATCTCCACCATCTGACTGGGCCAGGCTAGTAGTACTCGCGTCCTTTGCCCCTAGTAGCGTTCTTGTTACTAGTAGTAAGGCAGGAGCCCCTAGTAGCTTCTTGCTCCTAGTAGTAAGGCCAGGAGCCCCTAGTAGCGTCCATACTCCTAGTAGTACTTGCATTTGTCTTATTCACTACCCCAATACATCAATATGCAGCATGCAACATCTATAAGTTCTCTCAATCTGAAATCTTCTGACCTGAATCCAACTGACTTCAAGTGACAATGATCTCTCTTTTCAAACGACAGTGGACCTTGAAGTTGGAAGGAACTCTGGGAACTGTTTGCGTCCTTCATTCCTCTCCCAGTCTCGCTCACTCTCTCTGTCAACTGAAATCTCGTTTCTTGCATGTGCAAACAGCCCGTGGAAGCGATGTCAAGTCGCAAGTGTCCCTTGACCTCTGCAATTAGGTTGGAGGCCATCGCTACCAGGGTGGAGGCCATTCCCATTAGCTTGGAGGCCATTGGTGTCATGTAAATCTTTCGATCTGGTTCGGCCTCGGCTAGGTGCAGCAGTGAGTCCCGCAAGGGCACCATCACTTCAGCCTGCCTCCTGTGCACCCAGAGGTTTCCCAGAAAGTTCCCGGGTGAACTGAAGGTCTAAAGAAAAAGCAGTAGGAAGAAAGGTCTAAAGAACACCAAAATAAACGCCTGAAGAACACATGCACAAAAAGACAATCACGAAAAAACACAAAGAAAGAACAGTCTAAACATCAAAACGGCAGAAAGGTCTAAAGAAGCACAGAAAACAAAGGGATCGTGTGTACGTGGTGGTGACCCTGCACACTCTCTGTGCTTCCAATTTGAGAAGGCGTGCAAGCAAGTTGCTCTGAGCATCGTGCGCTGCAGCCCAACATTTTGGATTGCACCGGATGAAATTGAACTTACACAATTTGCCTTTAGGGTAACCTAATAGCAATGGCCTCCATGCCTTTAGGGCAGCTGTGGAGAAGAAAAACGTACTCGGGAATTAGCTAGCGACTTCGGAACTTGTGCTCCTTGTCCAGGAAGATGACATTGCTTTGACGTGTAAGTGGGTTGAGATAGGGTGATATTGACGTTTGTTTGTTGACTGCAAAAACGCTACGGGACCTTGGCGGAATGTGAAATTGTAAGCGGACGTCGGGGCACGCACTTGGTACACAACATGCAGACATGTATGCCATGCGAGCACGGCGTGTCGCTCAAGAGGTACATGAGACTTGCGCGTGTGCTCCTATGTAGTAGTAACAAGTGCCTTACTAATAGTAACAAGAAGCTACTAGTAACAAGTGCATCGCTTCTAGTAACAAGTGCCTTACTAG